GGCCAGCTCAGCCCACCAGGGGGCGGGGCTGGCTGGCATGTGGTGCTGGGGGATTGAACCGCGGTCCCTGATGCTTTGCTAAGCTTATTCTAAGTAGGTGCTTTAGACCACTGAGCCATCTCTCCAGCCCGGTGGTCCCTTCAAATTTTGACATTTTACTCAAATAAAAATGTTTTGATATTTTAGTACTCTGCTACTTTGACATTCTAGTACTTTGCCAGAGGGGAGGAGAGGGAAGGGGAGAAGAAATGATCCCTGATAAAAAAATTTATCACAGGATGATGCTCTGTGTTACTCACCTGCAATGACTTGACGACCTCTACCTTTCCCGTCCTTGGCCCCTTCAATGATACCTGGGAGATCTAGGAGCTACAACAGTAAACGCAGGGGGAAGGAGAGAAAAGGAATAATCAGTTGTAAATCTGAACAGGCCAAACATAATAATTCACTTCTCAAGTATCCAAAATGTATTAGAAATCAGACTTCCTTATAAAGTCAGACCATAATTTATTTATTTTTCCAGTACCAGGGACTGAACTCAGGATCCTTAACTTGCCAGCAAGCACTTATTCTATTGAGCTATCTCCCCAGGCCCTTAGGATAGGGTTTTTTATTTTTTAAGACCACAATTATTTTAATTTCACTAAACATCTAGTAAATATCAGCTACAAGCTTTTTATACATGTTTCCTAGATTAAAATGCCTAACATCCCTATCAAAAGTAATAGTCAAGTTCAAAGTTACACCACTTGCCCAAAGTCATAATCCTAACAGAGCAGACTGTAACTTATACATTTTGGGAGATCCAGCCCTAGCCCAGGCCCCGAAGCAATGCTCAAGATGAGGACCAAAGCTCCTCCAGAGTTCATCAGGAAAGCCAGCATGACAAGGTCCTCCAGCAGAACAGCACAAGAGAACTAGCAGCTCACAACAGCTTATGCATTTTGGGACAAAATCCACTGTTCTACATTACTGTCTTTCAGTGTTCCCCCACTTTTGAGAAAGCTGAGCCTCTATCCAAATTCCTCAATGCAGATCATCATCAGATCTTAACGTTACATGTGATACTAAGACTTCAGTAAAATCTCAAATCAAGAATTTCTCCAAGGGGCTGGGAATTGGCTCAGTAGAATAAGCACTTGCCTGGCAAGCTCAAGGGCCTGAGTTCAATCCCTGGTTCCTCAAAAAAAAACACTTCTCCAGCAGTTCTTTATAACACAACACAAAAGAATCACCTGGAAAACCATTAAAGATGTAGACAGCTAAGAATCATCACTGCAAATTCTGATTTGGAATGGCTACAGAAGGGTGCCAAACCTCCAAAGACGACTCTGATATGTATCTCCAATAAAAAATGACTGCCTTATTGTCCAGGAAATGCAGTAAAGTAGAAATTCACATAAGTCAGAATTCACCTAATGATAAGAATGCCAAAAGCACATGTGATTCAAAAATTCGTATCTCAGCAAAATTACAAACTATTAGTTAGGGGCCAGGGAGATGGCTCAGTACAATAAGCACCTTGCCTGGCAAGCGCAAGGGTCTAAATTCAATCCCTGGTTCCACCAAAAAAACAACAACAAAAAAAAAAACAAAAAACTATTAGTTACAGCTCTTAAGAGTCCATCAAAAGCAGTTTAAAAAGCAACCAAGAAATGAGAGGAAAAAATATTATTTAAATCTTAGAACTGTAGGATTTTAAGAATTAGATATTAAACTACTTCAGACTTGAGTGTCGTTACAGATTAGGTAACGTAAATGTTTGAGGCAACTGTGTGTAAGACAATTAGGAGTTCTAGGAATCCTGGCAAGATGAAACACATCCCATAATTCACAAAGCACCATGTACCTATTCTGTGGGCCAATGGCTGCCTACGTCTTCAAGACATGACATATCCCTTAGCTCTTCTTTATGATATCCCTGCTAGGCACTGGTTCACCACTAACACTTTTAGGTACTACTGTTAGGCACTTTCACTGTTAAAGAATTAACTTAACAAAAATCCTTCCTTATAATTCTTAAATGGTTCTAATTCTGTATACCACTTCTAAGTTACAGATAACAAAAACTGGTTTTGGTTGTTGTTGTTTTTGATAGTTGTGAAGGGTTAATGTGAAAGTAATGTGATGAGTTAATGCAAAACTAAATGTAGCCGCATCTCCCGCAAGAATGAAGACCTTTCTTAGCAATCAGACAGTCGACATTCCAGAAAATGTCAACATCACACTGAAAGGACGCACAGTTATTGTGAAGGGCCCCAGAGGAACCCTCCGGAGGGACTTCAACCACATCAATGTGGAACTCAGTCTCCTTGGGAAGAAAAAGAAGAGGC